TGCCCTCCCAGCGCGCACCCCCACCCCGCGTGGCGCGTGCCCTCCCCGCGCACCCTGTGTGGCACGTGCCCTGCTGGCGTGCGCCCCAGCTGGTACGGGCCCTCCCTGCGCGCCCTACATGGTACGTGCCCCCACGTAGTACGTGCCCCCCCCCCGTGGGCATGTCCGCTGGTACGCACTTGCGTGATACGTGCCTTCTCTGCGCGTGCGCCCATGTGTTACATGCGCCACACGCTCTGCGTGGCACAGGCCCTCTCCTCGCCCCTGCAGCACTCTTCTTCCTCCCCGAACACATGGGGACCTTGAAGCCGGGCATGGGGCTCCCGCCAACCCCGGCACGGCCCTTGTTTCTTGGTGTGTGGGTTCAGTCTCACAGTAGATACGGTAGAGGTGTTGTAAGAAGGATCCGGGGTTGTGGTCCGAGCCCCTGGATGTTCAGTCAGGAGCAGACTTACTCCTGCAGGTACGATGTGGCAGGCTGGGACGGGCCATGGTGCCCGCAGCACATAGGAGGAAATGTGGAGTGCAGGCTTTTTCAGAGCCCTCCGGGAGCCCTCCCCAGGCGAGCCAGGTCACAGTCAGGCCCCCTGGGCGGGGCGGAGATCACCCTTCCCCTGGCCAGGCTCCACCAGGGTTGAAGGTCAGCCGGTGCTTATGCCTTCTCAGAAGGGGATCCCCCAGATTAGGCCAGCCTGCTCCGTGGAGTATTCTGTGGGTCGTGGGGTGCTCTCGTAGGCCAGTGAGCCTGGCTGCGAAGGCAGGGGGACATCTCCACTGCGTTACTGGACTTAGGAGGCAGTGCAGTAGAGGAAGGGCCTGCCACACACGGCCACCCTGGTCAGATGGAAGGCGTGTGGTGCTGTAGGCAGAAACCACCTAGGTGAGCTGAGATTCGACAGTGGTGGCCGTGAGAGCTACCCGTGGAGGATGGGTCGAGTGAGGGGAAGCAGAGAAGGCTGCGAGCAGACGGCATTTGGCTGTATCCATGCCACTTTCCCTAGAGACAAATGGAGGGGGATACTTGTTACAAAGAAAGAATGAGCTCAGCTTAGTAGGAGAGCACAGTGGCTCCAACCTGTAGTCCTAGCTGCATGGGAGGCAGCCATGGGGGAGCCCTGACGTCAACCAGAGGCTGGGGGTTGTATGGTGTCATCCTGAGAGACACAGGGAAGCACAAGTAGCAGCCCAAGTTCTGCTTGGCATAAATCAAGACCCTGTCTTGAAAATATCCAAGGAAAAAAGGATAGGAGGCATGGCTCAAGTGGTAGAGCACCTGCTTTACAAATATAATGCCTTGAGTTCAGTCTACAGTACCACCACCAATAGTAATAATAGTGAGCTTAAAAATGTATGAAAGAAAAAAAACTAAAAGGAGAAGTGGAGCCCCAATTAGAGTTGGAAATGAGCACACTCCTGTCAGCTAGCATTGGAATATGTGCACAGCAAGTGAATACAGACATGGAGACTTAAGCTTCATGGTCTAGCCTGAGCTACCCTAAATGAAAGCTGTGGTCCAGCACTGGGGACTGTTGCTTTTCAAAGAACGTGGTACACTTTCATCAAAGTTGGCTGCTTTCCCACCATCTCAGGATGAAAGAAAAGAATAGCCAGTTAAACTCCCAGAGTAAGGCTGAAGGAAGTCATAACCAGCAAGAATCACAATGAACTCTAGAAAGACAATCTGTAATTTCAGGAGCCAGTTAGCCCCTGGGAACACTGATGCGGGTGGCAGTGACTGCAGGTCTGTGTGTGAGGAATGGAGGGGGGTTGCCACAGCCCCTACAGGCAGTGGGGACATCAGGCTGTGTCACCAACAAATGACGTGACAGTGCGTGAGATGGGGATTCTTCTGCAACAAGTGTAACTTTCCAGAACGGACACACAAGAGAGAAAACCCTGAGGGGTCCTATAGTTACCCACAAATTAAGTCTGCAATAACTTTTCTAAACAAAGAGAAGCCTAGACCCAGAGTCCTTTGCCAAGATTTTAAGCCCAAATCTTCCAGAAAACAGAGCAATATTTGTTATAAATAGCTCTCCAGGAGCCATTGGAGTCACAATGGTAAACATGAAATTAAAGCATTGTCTCAGGAAGGCAAAACTTACTTCTGCAGAAGGGTGTGCTGTCAGCCAAGCAAGCACACAGAGTGGGCTGCTCCTCTATTTATCCTCAGTGCAGCAGGCCCCGCCCCTCTGCTCTGATTGGTTGAGCTCAGGTTCACAGTCTGCTCATGATTGCCTAGTTTGAATAGAGTAAAATATATTTACATAAGGTGACTTTGAAATAAGACTAACTGTACACAATCTCAATATAGTCACACCCTCTGCCATCATATTTAGTTTATAGAAGTGATGTACAGAGGGATTATTATTACCTGAGTCAGGTAATGAGTACATTTCCTTTTGTACAGTAACCCTCTGCTATTGAACAGTCTGAGGTCTTAATTCCATCTTTAAAGAAACCAGTTTAAGGCAAAACTTACATTTCAAAGTTTCTTCCTTATCCTGTAGCAGTTCTTCTTTTCTTTACAGAGAGCCAAGCTACTAGGCCAAAGTAGGAACTTTTAAGAAACACGCTTTTGTAGAAAAGAGTTTTCCTCATATATTGATACATTCTAAGTTACTTATGAAGTCAACACAACTGATTCCCATTGTTATTACAAGAAAAGAAAATGCAGACTCATTTCTCATAAACACAGATGTGAGAATATAAGAAGCTATCAAGTGCAACAACACAGAAAGCCAGTAAACTGCGACTGAATTTGTTTGGTGAATACAAAGGTTGACGCAGTATCCTGAAGTCAGTGAGTGCAAATGAACAAAGTAACACGACAGCCAGTGTAGCTCAAGTAGACTGAGCGGTCAGGACTCACATGCGTTGTTAAGGGGAGGAAGGTGAGATCCAGGCTGGGTTTGGTTGCCTGCATAGATCCTTGGACCCAGAGCTCTGTCTTCTCTGTCCTCAGGGGAATAAAGGGGATTCAGGCCTGGGCTGTGGGCTCTAGAAGCTATGGGTCCTGAGCGTCCCAGTTCACCTGACTGGTCTCAGGCTCCAGGCCCCGAGCACAGCTTCCTGGTAAGGAGTCTGCTCGCCATTGCCTCTTCTCTTTCAGATGGATGAAATCAAAGGGAAGGATCGAGTGATCCTGGCCCTGGAGAAGGAGCTGGGCGTGCAGGCCGGGCAGACGCAGAGGCTGCTTATGCAGAAAGAGGCTTTGGATGAGCAGCTGGTTCAGGTCAAAGAGGCAGAGCGACACCACAGCAGTCCCAAAAGGGAGCTCCCGCCTGGCATCGGGGACATGGCAGAGCTCATGGGTAGCCAGGTGAGGGCCCGGGCCTCCACCATGTCCGGGTTGCTGGGCGGACTGCTCAGCCACCGCTTCCTCCTGCCTCCTTCGCCTGCCGTTCTTTGGCCTTTCCTCCGTCCTCGAGCTTCCTTGTCCTCCCATCCATCCCTTCTTTTGGTACATTTTCTTCCCATGCTCACTGACATTTAGTGTGGGCCAGGCCCAGCATGCAGCACCAGCGGCAGACCTTCTCTGCCTCCTGTGGCCACAGCTCAGCTGCCGAGGAAGACATGGTGCCCTTGGAGGAGGGGCACGTGATGGGCGTTCCGGAGGGAACCCAGGCAGGACAGGGAGGGACAATGGCAGAATCCTGAAGACCAGTAGAAGCTGCCCCTCGCCCCCAGCAGCAAATGCAGGGGCACTGGGGCAATTACTGGACTCTTAGCAAAGTTGCAGAGGAACATTGGTCCATGTTCATTCATTTGCTGCTGGGGCACCTTTAGTGAATGACGTGTGCTGCATGTTGCAGGAGGGGTGGACGTTCTAGTGTAGACAATCTGCCATGGAGGGATCCCGGCTTATCCTGGCATGTGCTGGGCCTCTGTAGGAGGTGCAGGAGCGGGGGTGGGCTTCATCTTGAGGTCCCCAAGGGCTGGGTGTTTGGGAAGCCTTAGGAGGATTTCAAATCTCTGTCACCTGGAGGCAAAGCGTACCCCACAAGCACGTGAGAAGGCTTGGAGTGCTTTCTACCTTCCCGCCCCACACGGCCTCTCAATGTGTGTCACCTGCCACACCTTGTGTGGGCTTTGGAAGGCTCCACAGAGCCCTTCGAAGCAGCTTCTTCAAAGCACACATGAATCTTGTTTTTTAATTTTTTTTTTTAGGATCAACATATGGATGAGCGAGACGTGAGGCGATTTCAGCTAAAAATCGCTGAACTGAATTCTGTGATACGGAAGCTGGAAGACAGAAACACTCTCTTGGCAGACGAGAGGAGTGAACTGGTAACCAGGCCAAGACTGGTAGTGTATGGAGGGACCCAGGGAGGGGCTCTGGGGCCAGGAAATGCCTCAAACATGATGTGAACACAGAGGCCTCCTAGCTTGCTTGCTTTCCTATTGATTCAGAAAGTCTTAACACGTGGTCCTAAAAGAAATGTGCCATGGCCTGTTTCTGCAGGACGTCATCCTCAGAAAGCAGGTAGAGAAGGCAGCGAGCAGTGTGAGCATGTCTGCCGCAGCGCTGTTTATAGTGGAGACCAAAAACAACCAAGCGCACAGTGGCTCCATTCTCAGACCCTGAGCTCAGGAACCACGGAAGCTTTGCACACCGTCAATCCTTAAGAGCAGTTAGCTGGCAGGAAGTATGTACCCAGTATATTAAGTGATGGAAGCAGTTTTCAGAACAAAGATTAACAGCCATCATTCTGGAAACTACCAGGGACAGAGCTCAGGCTGGAGCCCCGGCTAGGTTTAGCGCTACCGCCGCACCTGGCCCAGGAGACGGGAGGCTGCAGGGGGCGGGGTGCCGACGTGGCTCAGGGCCTTGCATGGTCAGTGATTGGTCTCCCACGTGCAGAGCATGTGGTACCTCCTGGTCCCTGTGTGGCAGCGATGCGCCTTTGGGTGCGAAACGTAGGAGAGGAGTCTCCACAGTCATCAGAGGCTGGCCTACCGAGGGCCTTGAGCACTGCTGGTCTCGACGATTTGACCTACAAACCCACTTCCTTTTCCTCTGATAGTGAAGAGGCATATTTAAACACAAATTGCTCGTGTGTTCCCTCTTGCCCACCTTGATACCATCTAGAAGGAAACCCCTGAGCATCCACCTAGCTCACTCTGTATCTCAGAGCAAGGCCCAGAATAGGGAAGGGCATGGCTAGTTTCGGGAAATTCAGTTTCAGAGCTGGGTACCGTGTAATCCCAGTTCTCAGGAGCCTGAGGCAACTTAGGCTACATAAGGAGAACCTATCCAAAAAATAAAAATCCGGATATTGAAGATTCCTTCCATAGTTGGTTTGATAACATTTATATTATTATTACCATTACTACTACGGAGGGTTGAACTTGGGGCCATGACCCCTCTCTTTGCTTTCAGTTTGTTTGTTTTTGGGATAGGGTCTCGAGGTTTTGCCCAAGCGGCCTTAGACCAAAATCCTCCTACCTCCACCTCCAAGGTAGCTGGGAATACAAGTATGCACAACTATTCTGGCTCTTTGTGGTTTTAACAGGATAAAAACAAATTCATTTCCCTCCACTGGTTTTAAAGGCAGGTTGGCTTTAATCACTACTACATCTGACCTATTTCCACTCAGCACAGAGACACTCAGGAGCCAAATGACAGCTTGCTGGGTGACTCAGGGAAGAAACTGGCAGCTTCTAGCAATCAGACCACGCCAGCACACTTGTAGCATGGTCTCCAGCCTGGGGGCTGCCACACGACCCCCACCAGCCCTCTTTTTGTTTGGCTGTTGTGTTTTGCAGCGAGGGATTTTTTTGTGCATATTTTTGCAGTTTACTTCTCTCCCCCCAGACTTAGTGACATCTTCCCTGCTGGTTTGCACAGCTCTGTCCATCTTGCATTGCATGTGTAGGGACCTGAGGTTCTACCTGCTGTAACCCACATGGCAGTGCCCAGGCTGCTCCTGTTCCTGTGCTCACAGTGAACGCCCCCATGGGGAAGTCCACGCCTGGCTCTGCTGCTGGGGCCTCCTCTGCGTGGGGTGGATTTCTAGATGCAGGACCGTGTCTACACAACTCTGGGTTTTCAGACACCGTCAGTTTCACAACCAGTGTCTGAACACAGCGGGCTCTTAACCAGCTTCATGCTGGCTACTAGCTCTAGTAAGCCTGCTAGGTGTTCCTCCATGCTCAGGTTGTGGAGTGTCGCATGTGGCCAGGGCCCATTCAGGTTCCTGATGAGGCCTTGGTGTCACCTTGACTGTCCTCGTGATGTTTGCAACAGTACTAGACATTGGAGCTGTTTACCTTGTCCATTAAAATCTCATAAAGTCACCAATTCTGACTTCAATCTTGGTGGGTGCTGCCATTTTATAGCCAAGGAAATGGAGGCTGAGAAGTCAACCATAATCAGCCGGAAATGGAGCCTGCCCCAAGGGTGCTGTGCTCAGAAGGAAAAGGAAGGTGCCTTAATAGTGTAACACCCCATTCTTTCCACAGCCAACTGTGACTTCTCCAGTCTGTCTCATTGATCTGTCCTCCATATGGGTTGTTCTAGAAGGTGAACCCGTCACCACCAGGTTCTTCTCCCCAGGGGCTGGGCTGGAGGCAAGATAGCCAAGAGGGGCACAAGAGGGGCTCCAGAGGCTGGGGGTAGAGCCGTGAGGAGGCATGACGGCACTGCCCAGCACTGAGCCTGGCACTGGCGGACTGCGGGCTGTGGTTTGAAGACTGTGGAGCCGCAGCCAGTGTGTGATGACTGGGGCTGGGTGGCCAGGAAGATCAGCATAGGTGGCAAGGCTGACCTTCCTGTGTATGACCCACGACCTCAGACAGGTCAGCCACCCCAGCCCATTTGTAGGCCACCGGCCTGCTCCTGTCACCACTGACCAGGCCATCATCATCACCATCACCATCACCATCATCATCATCATCATCATCGTTGTCATCGTGGTGTGGCAAGGTTCAGCCTGGGGAGGTGCTGTCCCGTGTTTCTGGGGTTTGCTCCGTCTAGGACATAAGCTCTGGTGTTGGGAGCTGGAGGAGCTGTGGAGTCTCTGAGGTGTGGCCGGAGCTTGGCCGCGCCGGGGCCTTCAGGCCGCCTGACCAGTGTGTGTCCCACTGTAGCTCAAGCGCTCCAGAGAGACAGAGGTGCAGCTGAAGCCGCTGGTAGAGAAGAACAAGCGGATGAACAAGAAGAACGAGGACCTGCTGCAGAGCATCCAGCGCATGGAGGAGAAGATCAAGAACCTCACCAGGGAGAACGTGGAAGTGGTAAGTTCCTGCCGGCCACCTCCTCTAGCCTGGAGCCTCACGAGACCGAATCTCCAGGCTGGCGGGGTCACCGACCCCATCTCCACCCCGGAAGCCCACACTCCAGCACTGTCCCCGGTGTGTTCAGCTGACCCCCCACGTGCTTTGCAGAAGGAAAAGCTGTCTGCCCAGAGCTCACTGAGGCGCCACACGTCGCTGGACGACCTTAGCCTGACCCGGGACGAGCAGGAGATCGCCTTCCTGAGGCTCCAGGTGCTGGAGCAGCAGCACGTCATCGAAGACCTCTCGCTGGTACAAGGGCATGGGGCTCAGGAGAGAGGGGGCCTTGTGGGGAATGGGGGGCAGGCACATCATTGATGAGCCCTCACGTGTATGAGGGCGTGGGGTTCACGTCATCGATGACCTCTACTGGTAGGTGGGCGCCTGTCTGGGTCAGGAGAGGGAGTGGGCAGCCAGGTGCGATCGGGAGTTCCCAGCCCCCCTCCCATTCCCTGCAGTGCCCACATCTACTCGGTGCAGCCTGGGCGTCTCTAGAATGAGACCACGGCTACCTGGGAACAGTTTCCATGGCAACTCCTGCTTCTCCAATTGTCTCCTTGTTGGCTGCGGTTAAGAGACACCAGGGTTTTAAGAAAATCCAGCCTGATCTGTTCCTGAGAAGTCTTTGAATTCCTGACTTTCCTGATTAGTTAATTATTTTTTTTTCAGACAGACAATCTTGCTATGTTTCCCAAGCTGCCCTGCAACTGACCTTGTAGTTTATTCATTTTTTTAACTTAGCAGTTATAGGCATGAACTTGAATTTTTCTTTCCCTTCCCTCACTTCCCTCCCACCTTTTCCTCTTTTCTTTCCTTCCTTGGGTTTGAACTAAGGGTCTTGTACTTGCTAGACAGGCACAAAATACCATTGAGCCACACTCGGTTCATGACCAAGGTATCATAAACTTGAGCCTGCAAACCCAGACCTTGTGATCAGACTAGAGCTCAAAGGCCCTGCTGAAGCTGTGTGTGGTGTGTCATGACAGTTGGGGTGTAGATATTTGAAGGGGAAGCAGGAAGTAGACCTGTTCTAGGTGGGCGGGGTACTCTTGCAGGATGCCTGAGCTGGATTGTAGAGGCAGAATGCAGTCTGCCTGCCTCGGAGGCTTGTGAGGCCCCTTCATGGGTTTTTGAAGAATAGGTAAACAGAATTCTAGGAAAGGATTTGTCCAGAACTATCTTGTTCACTCTGTCAACTCTGCCCCTTTCAATCTTTCCTTCCTTGCCGCCTGCTTCCATCCATCATCCATCCATCATCCACTCACCCACCTACCTACCTATCTTCATTTTTTTCTTTACTTCATTACACAAAAGGTGCATCTTAGGATGAAAAAAATACCTCCATTAAAGAGATGATTAGATGAAGAAATGAAATTAAGACTAGGGAAGATAGAGACAGACTTGGTGGACGGTGGGCTGAGGCTGCGTGCCAGGTGTGGCCTGCTGGACCAGTGGGGTTTGTGCCAGAAGGGACAGCCCTGTTCTGTCTGAGTGCCATCCTCCCGTCCCTGTCCCACGGGGGCTGTTTCCACCACTAGTGGCCCTGGGTTCCTGTCTCTTTCTTGGGGCAGCTCTGTAGGGCAGGGTCCAGCCCTGTGTGACAAAGGAAGAACCAGGACCAGGGAGATACAGCAGTCACCTGACTATGAGGGGTCAGGTGAAGGCCGCAGGTGCCCCAAACTCTGCTGCTGTGCTGAGGGGCTGTCCACCTACTCGGGTGGACGGTCACCGGACCCCCACAGAAAACAGGCTTGCGTGGTATGGGTGGGACAGGGCCTTGTGTAAAGGGCTTATTGCTGCGGACCTTGACCCGCCCAAGCCAGGCAGGTGGACGGGTGCAGCAGTCAGGGAGCGCTCCGAGAGCCAGCGTGGTCTGACAGCCGTAACTGGTGCAATTGTATTTTGTCTCTCAGGAGAGAGAACGGTTGCTGCGTTCCAAGAGGCATCGAGGGAAAAGCTTGAAGCCGCCCAAGGTGAGCCTGGTTGGTGCCACACCATGGAGCTGTGGGGTCAGCTGGCATCAGGAGGAGAGGGGAGGAGAAGGAAGGGGAAAGGAAGGGAAGGGCGCGGAGAGCGCCGTGTAGGGGGATATGTGTGCATGTTGGGTGATGAAGCCCTGCTACCCCCATCTCTCAAGCATAAATTATGGTTGTGTGATGTGACCCAGTTTTGGTAATTTATTCACGAAAACTTACTGGTGCAATTCTGTATTTAGGCTTTGGGTGTATTCACCCAAATTGCAAACATATATCTTCAGACCTTTTGAAGGATTGCAGGACACTCAGACTGGCTTGTGCAGTCTAATTTCCTGTTCTGAAAAACCAGGAACTGTGTGTTTTGGGACAGTGCAGAAATTCACTCTCTGCTAGGCAGACACAGTGCCTCTGAGCCACATCTCCAGCCCTTTCTTGCACTGGTTAGTTTTAGGGTAAGGTCCTGCTGCCTGGCCGGGGTGCACTTGAGGTGTGATCTGTCTACTTTGGGCTACCTTTTGTTGCTGGGATGACAGGCATGTGCCACTGTTTTTCCTTTGAGATGGAGTCTTGTAGACTTTTCTGCCTAGGCTGGCCCAGAACTTCAGTCCTTCTGATCTTGCCTAAGTCTACAAGCCTGAGCCACTAGTGCTGGGCCCAGAACTGCACTCTTTCTGCAGAATGTAGGTCTACCATCTCACAGTGTTGGTGTCCAGATGTCCTGAAGTGGAGAATTGGGGCTTTGTGAGCTCAGATGCCCACGGGGCCAATCTGGGGTGGAAGGGAGCAGACTGGAAGAAATGGGAAAGAAGGGAATCCTCTTCATGGGTCATGACATGGGTCTCCTGCTGTACTGAACCATGCTCCTGCCTGTGTTTTCTTCTGATAGATGGTATCAGCGTAGTCCTTCTCTTCTGTAGGTAAAACAGCTGTATAGCTGGGACAGTGAGTGGCGAAGGACGTACAGCCTTGAAGCCAGGGTGACTAGGGAATGGTGGGGCCTGGGCCAAACCATGCCTAGAATACCGGTTGGTAGAAGATGGGCTGGCAGGTGTCTGACATCATACTTTCAAGTATGAGTCTGTAGATCAGATTTCTAGGGTTCACTTCGCAAAGTGGCAGAAAGTGTGTCTCTTAGACGGACAGAGATGTTTGTCCCAGTCACAGAGGCCTGAAGTCTGAAATCAGGACCGTGGCAGAGCTCTTCTGTGTCCCTCCCAGCAATCTCTGGCAGTCCCTGGTTTGCTGCTGCATAACTGTGGTCTGCCATACTTGTTGGAAGGTTGTTCCCTGTGGTGTGTGTTCATGTGACTGTCACTTTAAGGATGGGTCACTGAATTTGGACTCTTCTCCAGTATGAACTCACATAAATTTAATGATCACCTCTGTAATGACCCTGTTTCCCAAGAAGGCTGTGTTCTGCAGAGTTATGGTTAGGACTTCAACATCTTGTGAGTGTGTGCACATGAGTGTACACATGCCCATTTCTCTCTTGTGCAGGTACTAGGGTTTGAACTCAGGACATATAGTATTTCTGCTTGTCTTTTTTGCTCAAAGTTGGCGTTTTACGCCTCTATTTCCCGATTTTTGCTGGTTAGTTGGGGATAACAGTCTCTGTGGTTTGTCCACCCAAGGATGGCTTTGAACCTTGATCCTTACATCTCAGCCTCCTGAGTAGCTAAAATAATAGGCATGAGCTAACTGACTCAACTCTTTTTGGGAGGACACAATTCAAACTAGAAACTTTTTTTTTGGTCAGTCATGGGGTTTGAACCTCTGGCTTGGACGCTGTTCCTGTGCTCTTCAGCTCAAGGCGAGCACTCTACCGCTTGAGCCACAGCGCCACTTCCAGTTTTCTAGTGGTTTATTGGAGATAAGAGTCTCATGGGCTTTCCTGCCTAGGCTGGCTTTGCACCGAGAGCCTCAGATCTCAGCCTCCTGAATAGCTAGGATTACAGACGTGAGCCACCAGCGCCCTGCTAAAACTAGACACTTTTATGTAAGATCTAAGGATTTTATTTTTTTATTTTTATTTTTTTTGGGGGATCCGGTCGTGGGCCTGAACTCTGGGCCTGGGCACTGTCCCTCAGCTCTTCAGCTCAAGGCTAGTGCACTACCACTTGAGCCACAGCGCCACTTCCGGCTTTTTTTTTCTGCTTATGTGGTACTGAGGAATTGAACCCAGGCCTCATGCATGCAAGGCAAGCGCTTTACCACTGAGCCACCTTCCCAGCCCCAAATCTAAGGATTTTAAAACATACTTTTATTGTTATAAAGATGTTGTACCAAAAGCTGGGCGCTGGTGGCTCACAACTGTAATCCTAGCTACTCAGGAGGCTGAGATCTGAGGATCACGGTTCAAAGCCAGCCCGGGCAGGAGAGACCGTGAAACTCCTATCTCCAATAAA